CCCGGTCTGAGGCGTCCTCCCCATCCCTCCAACTCTGCCGCCCCTAACGGAAGGTGAGGGCCGTCCGGGGCAGTGGAGGGCCTGATCCCAGGCTACTGGGAGTTGCCGAAGGCCTGGAGGGCGGGGCGGGCTGGAAGCGGCCCGGGAAGAAGCGCCGCAGGCTGGGTATCTGGGATGGGCGGTGGGGCCTGGCGCTCTGCAGAGCCCCTGCGCAACCTTTTTCTCATCTTCTCATTGCCGGCTCAGAAAAAAAAAATTTTTTTTTTCAAAATATCTCCATTGGATAAGGTCCGCCCGCGATCCCCGATGCAGACATTCTGTTGTTTCTTCCCGCCTCTCTGGGGTCCTGCCCAGCCCTGCTCTGGAAGGGGGCTGCGGGAGGGGCGTTTGGGTGGGTTGGACCTGGCGTTGGACTTGCGGGTGCATGACCTGCCAGAGCCTGAGTGATGGGACCGGACGCCGGGGATAGGAAGGAAGTCAATGAGCGATCAACCCAGGGCTGGAGCATCTTTGCAGGTGCACAAAGCACCCCCTGGGTGTGCTTCTTCATCAGCTTCAAGAGCCCCACTGCACAAGTGCTGGCGGAGTAAGGGTTGGAAAGGAGAAAGGATACATTCATGAAAGGCAGGATTTCCGTTATACAATGTATCACTCTCAGGCTGTTATGTAACAATATTAAGGGCAGACGTTGCCAGTACCCTAAGTATACCAGAGGACACAAGGCTGCGCATCTGCGTGTTCTAGTGCTGGTACTCTTCGGTACGCAATGCAGCTAGCCAATCTCTGGGGTTCTAGCTTCTGTTTAAATTCCCATTTGTCCAAACTGTTCCTTGTTCTAGTGGAATTTGGAAATGAATTTATGGAACCAGGACACGTCAAAGCAGAACGTGAACAGATGTGCACAAACAAATCGTGCCGAAGTTCATGTAGCCCAAAGGGGATGGGATTTATCTTCAGTTGCTTAGTAGAAATACCAAAGGAATCTGGGACCAATAATTAGTGTAATGGCTATGTCGCTGAACTCCCATGTTGTCGACCTTGGTTCAAGGCCTGGACGCGGTGGCTTAAAAACTCACGCTGGGCGCGTGTGCGTGCGTGCCCAAGATCCCGAGAGGAGAATGGAGGAGAAAGGATTGTGGCATGGCCATCCCCCCTGGGGAGTGATTTCTCGCTTTCTGTCTCTGTCTGTCTTCTGGCGAGTGCACGCACCCTATAGCAAAAATCTCTAAAAAAAAAAAAAAAAAGAAAAAGAAAAAAGAAAAAGAAATACCAAAGGAGTCTGACATGAGAGGATTAGAGGTGGCAAAATGTTTGTGAAACTTACACTGGGGCCATATTATCGTTTCTTCCATTGCATAATGAGAAAAACAGGGACTGTGAAGTTAGAATGAGTTCAGATTCTCGGAATGGACACTGGCTATAAAACCTGACCCATTACCTTTCTGTGATTTAGTGTCCACGTCATAATTTGCAATTTCCTTCTGTTGATTTGATGAAACAGCAATACGTGTAAAGTCTTTAGCCTAAAGGCATTATGTTAGTGGTCTCACTAGTTCACTGGTAAGTGGATGGCAGTTGGTGAAAATCAATTTTAGTTGCAGAATAGTTGAGTGGTTACAGTTGAAGGGATTTTTTTTGGAAAATGCTTTAAAAATGTCGACCTCAGACGTGGCTAGTGGAGAAAAGCAGGTTGGAACATTGGCTATTGTCTTGGCTCTGTTGGTAACTATTTCTATGATCCTGAATAAGCCATTGTGTCTTTAGTATTGATTTATTTATTTATAAAATGAGGCAGCTGGACCAGGTGGTTTTTCTAAAATTCTTTTTTGTGTGTGTGGCCTGAAATAGGGCAAAAAGAGAGAGAGGATAATTCTTGCAAACACATTATAAACTCATTAAATTTTTACGGCAAATTCAGGACCAGAGGATGGCGTAGTGGTTATGTCGCTGGGATCCCACATAGTCAACTGTGGTTCAAGTCCCAGACCTCAGGACCTAAAACTCATACCAGGCACGTGTGTGTTGCATGCCCAAGCTCCCAAGAGGAGAATGGAGGAGAAAGTATTGCAGCATGGCCATCTTCCTGGGGCATGATTTCTTGTTTTCTGTCTCTCTTTCTGTCCAGTGAGTGCACAAACCTCATAGCAAAAATCTCTCTCAACAAAGAAAAGAAAAAAAATTCTTACAGCAAACTTACGAAGTACTTACCGTTATTATCTTCATTTCTGAGAGAAGAAAATTGAGACTGAAATGTTAAACTTCCCCAGGGTTCCAGAGTTTATAAATATTGATAGCAGACCTAGGGTTTGAATATGATTTGAGTACGGTTTGAATCTGAGTCCATGTTCTTAACCATTGTGCCAAACTGCCCCTTGGGAAGAGGGATGTCGGAGTGCCCTTACAGGCGCTTGGAAGAAGGTGCGAGTACTTGGTCAGACGGTAGCCTCTGCTCGTAGTTGGGTGTGTGGACCTCGGAGATCATTAAATCAAGTGGATTGATTTCAATGCTTGCCACACTTCGCGATCATTATTGTCTCTGTCCCTTCTGCTTCAGGGACTTACATGCCCAAAAATAATTCTAGATCGTCATCCAGTAACCAAGGCTAGATATGGAGGGGCAGCCTAATTTACTGATTTTTGAGAAACGTTTTAGAGAGCTGACCTACGCAGAGGTCAGAACTGAAGGATCTCAGAGCACCATGTCAGTTGTGGAGCCCAGGAGGACTAAGACAGACACGGTAACCTCAGCACCCCAAATTCTTTCAGCGTTCCCGCACCTGAGATGCTTCAGTCTCAATTCTCTGCTCATGTCCGATTTGCCTGGGCCCGCAGGCAGCTTCCAGACTTCTATGCAGGAGCAGTTGAAATGATCTCTCAGTAGCACATATGACATTGGAATTGGATGGATATAAGAGCAACCATAAGTAAAATAGTTTTATAGTTGAAACCTTGTTTCAAATACCTTTATTATGGCATAGTAATATGCTAATATAGTTGCTATGCTGTTTGAAGATTGATCCTATCTTGAAAAAAGGAAATCCGTGTCTAAAGTACTTTGACCTAAAGAGCTGATCAAACTTTTTGATCTCATGTGTGAAATAAACCAGTATTTTACTCTGCACCGACAGGCCGAATACATACCGTAGTTGCATTTTGAGGCCACTATGTTTAATCACATCACAGTTCATGTTTGTGTTTTATTGTCATGGAGAGGCCACGGGCCACGGTCTGGTCCATTTTATTCACGAGTGATGCCCTTCTGCAGGGGGTGCCACGGGTACCTGGGCAGCTCTGCGCTACGTGACCCTCGGGGCAGTCCTACATAGACAATGGTGTGAATGGTGCTTTCAGCTTGTGGCGTTTGTCCTGTATCACTGCCTGGTGCCATCGCTTTGTGCTCCTGGCCCCACCTCAGTTTTGAATATGTTTTTTAAATATTATCTTCCCACTAATAAGCCCTGTCTAGTCTGTTTTTCTGGGTTTTTTTCTCCTTTCTTTTTTTTTTTCCAGATAAAGTCTAAACTACTTGTTAGCATAGGTTTTCTATTGTTTCGGTTATATGTGACCACCATTTTGGAAACGGACTCCTCATCTACCACGTCGGTCAGTTTGGAACACGTGGCTTCTCCAGGAGACTTGTTGGGTTTATTTTAGTGTGAGAGTAAGACACAAGGAAAAGAAGAACTCATCTGATTTCAGATCACGTATCGATTTCGTGGTTACTGTTGTTCTGGCTTCTGTAACTGCCGACTCCTCTCAGCGGGGTGAAAATTCTGTCTTGTACTGTGCAAAGACCCTGCACCTAGGACTGTGAAGCGCTGTGTGTGCCTTAGCGAGCGCAGCTCAGCTTACTGTCCCCGAGGGCTCCCAAGACCACTGACTTGGCTTTTGGCTCTGTCTCTCTCATCTCCCCCAGGCCTCCTTTAGCCTGATCAGTGGTTGAAATGGATGAAAAGTGAGGGTGACTTGTTAGAAGTGTGCTCTTCTCTGGGGCTGGCAGGTGGTGTGGGTAAGGTACTGGATTCCCACATGGTTGACTGTGGTTCGAGTCCTGGACCAGGTGACTTGCTTTCTCACTTTCTCTGTCTCTTTTTTTTCCCTCTCTTTCTCTCATCAAGCTAACAATTAATAATAAATAAATAATAACAAAATATTTTAGAATTCTTTTTTTAAAAAAGTGTGTTCTTCTCTCAGGGAAGTGTCAAGCCAAGTTTTTCACTTCTCACATTCTTTCTCTTCAGTTATAAGGAGACAGGTTGATCAAATGGAGAGGAAGAATTTTTGAAGCATGGTCTTCAAATACTATATTGGTTGAATAACTTTAGAAAAGGAATTTTTTGGGAAAAAAAAGGTAGCATGTCAGTCTTTTTGTATTTATGTAGACATCTACGTAATAAATGCTTTTTCTGAAGTACAGTGGTAGGCTTATTAAGCATTATGAAGTTACTTGTATGTCAGTTGGACAGGATGACAGGCTTGTGCCACTGTGCCCGGAGGCCGAAGTTCCAGGAACCACACCTGGGCCCCATGCGGCTTCTGGTCTCTCAGGCAGCGGTGCTGTGTATGTGTCACCACGGCGGGCCTGGGAGGATGTTTAACATCCTTGATTTCTTAGACTAAGCTACGTCTTACTTGAAGAGTAGTTTATATGTAAGTACACGAGCACTCTTATTTCCGCAGTCATGCTAGCATCTGAAATGCACTGCGAGTAATAACTGAGGCTGAGAGCTGCGCGGCCTACAGACACCCCGACTGCGACTCTGGTTCCAGTCTGTAGACATCCTTGTTACTAGGTCTGGTTCCGCTGTGCAGCCGTCTGGGCACATAACGATATCTTGGGTGTAGGAGGTAGTCAGCAAATACTGCTGAAAGAGCGGATGCGGCTGGTCCCATAGCCCAGTGGTTAGGGAGCCGTGTCGCACCTGGCCGTCTATGGTTTGAATCTTGAGCCCATCAGTTCGCTGTATGTGCCTATGTTGTAACTTTGTTTTAAACTGCAGATCATTCATCGAGAAGTTTGTATCGGAGGCCCAGAAGGTTGTTCACCAAGATGATGAACGCTGACATGGATGGTATGTTCTTCATTTTCTTTTTCGTATGTCCCTGGTTTTTTTGGATGCTCTTGCTTTATTAAGCAATGGAAACGAGAGAGGATTGGTATTTAGAAAACCTGAATCTTGGCTAATTTACTCATTTATATCCCATCTAATTTTGGAAAGGACCCAAGGCAGCTCCCGTTCCTTCACTGTGAGGCATTGGCGGGTCACTTTCGCCTCCTCAGTGTCGTCTGCAGTGTGGGATGTAACTCCTTCACAGAGCTCTTGCAGCGTCCAGTGGAATCGTGAATATAGAGCGTTCTATGCTGCACTACACAAATGGTACCTGGTAGTAATTCATGGTAAATTTGAACCGTTTTATTACAGCAGTGGATGCTGAAAATCAGGTGGAGCTGGAGGAAAAAACGCGACTTATCAACCAAGTGTTGGAACTGCAACACACGCTTGAAGGTTAGCTTGCATGTTGTAGTCTTCTTGGATGGCATGCAATTAATTGGAATTGTAAGCATTTATGTTCCCACTTTTGGCGTTAATGCTTTAAGGCCAAGTTCACGTTTCTTCAGCAGTGCCATTCCCTCATTCATAGTATTTATATTTTTAAATGACGTCTTTTTTCTAAATAACCACTTTAAGAGTTACTCAACATACATGCTGTTGACAAAGAACAACATTTAGCCTAATGTGAAATCTCTTAAGAATTGTTGCCTACTGATTTTCATTCAGATTACTTTATTGAACTTCTTCAAAGTAACCTGCATCTTAAAACAAACAAAATGTCGGGACGGTGGTATCTCTTTTAAGAATGACTCTGAAGTATTTTGTGATATGGAGCCTTTGCCGTCATTGTATTGACAATGGACATCTTTATCTTATATGTAGATCTGTCTGCAAGAGTAGATGCCGTTAAGGAAGAAAATCTGAAGCTAAAATCAGAAAACCAAGTTCTCGGACAGTATATAGAGAACCTCATGTCGGCTTCTAGTGTTTTTCAAACAACTGACACAAAAAGCAAAAGAAAGTAGGGACTGGTTTCCCTCCTGTTTTATGAAATCGCTGCTGGTTTTTTTTTCTTTCTTTTCTTTTTTCCTTTCCAATTTGGATAGATTCCAAAAGTGAAAGTCCTTTTGTTTGTGGCTTCATTGAATATTTATGAAGATAATGTCAGATCTAGGCAGAATTAACAGCATAACAGGAGACATTCTTGACTTTGTGTATTCCGTTAGTCTATGAAAACGTGCAGATGTATTGTAGAGACTTTATAACTAGAACTGCATATATTTATGAAACTCGATGACTGTTTTAGCAAATTTGCTTCGGTTTATAGGATTAGCGCTGTCTTTTATTCTAGACTTAGTAAGAGATAGAAGAAAATAACCATGTTGTGAAAAAGTGACCAAATCATGTACTGAACACACAGCTTTTACGTACCCTGTCCACCGTTGCGTGCCTCTTCTCCGTTGGCCTCTCCCTTCTCATTTCTTTTTTCCCTTAAGGAAAAAAAAAAATGGTTTCACATTTGTGAAAGTCATTTTAATAGTTCATCATCTATGAAAGTAATCTGAACTTTAACTGTTGAAACTTAACCAAGATAAGATTCTCTCTCAACTAGGACTTGCCATTTGTGATGTTTAGTACTGAGACAGTCTGGCTGGTTTCTCTTTGATCAGTTGAAAACAGATGGAGGCTATAAAAATGAATTCTTTTGACACTGAATCGTTAAAGTTTTGTTATTAAAAACTTTCTTTTGCACAAAATAACTCACTTGGTGTCTGAAAAGATAGTTTGGATATGAGTTCTTGCTATGTGTGTTTAAAACAGAAGTCCTGAGGATGAATCAAAATAGGGTAGAAAAGTACTTGGTAAACAGCAGTAACCAGCTCCAAATGTCTTCACTCCAGATGCGTGTTTTCCTTGGCACAGAGCAGATCTTCTGGGGAATATACACACACACATATATATACACTACATTTGACCGGTAGTTCGTAAGCCACATCTGGAAGAGAGCAGTTACAAAGAATTTGGTTCTCAAGATTTATTTGTACCCAGCAGATCAACTTTTGCAAAAGATTTTAAGAGTGTGTTAGTATCAGAATCATGAACCGAATGGGAGAGCTTTATATGTACTGTATACTAATGGATAATATTCCTCAGTATTTTATCGCACCTCTTCTCCCAGAATGTTCTGTAAACTCTTCTTGGTTTGCAGAGTTTTAGTCATCCTTTAACATTTTCTTTTTTTTAAATTTAGTTTGTCAATTCCATTCCATAAGGGAATCAATATCAGAAGTAATGGTAAGATACTATAATAGGAAAAGAGATCCAGTAATAATATTAACAATAATAACTTATGGTTATTAGATTTAGGCTACTTTTAATCATGGAATAATCTTATGAATTGGTGTACACTTTGATGAATGATTTTAGCTGTATGAATATGTTATACTGCAAACGTTTTGCATCCCTTTCGTGATCTAATTTACAAACATGTAAACTTGTGTTGCAGTTCTGCTTTGATGTTTAATAAAAAATTGTTTCAGAAATTGTATGCGTGCTTTTTTGTTTATTTTTTGTTTTTGTTTTGGAGAGGTGTTTGCTATAGGGTGCGTGCACTCACCAGAAAGAGACAGAGACAGAAAGCGAGAAATCACCCCCACAGGGGATGGCCACGCCACAATCCCTTCTCCTCCATTCTCTTCTCGGGATCTTGGGCATGGACGCACACGCGCCCGGTGTGAGTTTAAGCCACCAGGTCCGGGACTTGAACTGCAGTCAACTACATGGGAGTCCAGCATTATAGCCATTATGCCAACTGCTGGCCCCCATCTGTATGTGTTTTGATATGGTTGCCTAAGCCAATGAAGTAAATGTCCTGCTATGTCTAGGGTTGTTTCATCTTAAGTACCCAGTTACTTTTTAGGAGAATAATATTTTGTTAATGTAAATATTACAGGTTATTATACATTAATTTTTAAAAAAATAAAGAATCCAAGATCTTTAAGGGCCAAGAGATTGTATTTTTTTAGGGTAGGCTAAACTACCCAAACCAGAGACCCTGGTGATAATGAATATAAAATAATACAGAAGAGTTTCTCCCCACCCATGGCTCTGAGGTCAGCATTGCAGGCTAACAGGCTTTATTGATTTGGGGATTTATTTAGGGACTTGGGTTGGACATGGCTGCCATTTTCAACCATGGCTTCCAAGTCCCTAGTTCCCATCTCATTTACAAGAAAGAGCAAGGAAGTTCACAGATGGAAGATTTCATGAGAGGTCTCACATTCCATTAGTGTGGAGACTTTGTTGCATCCAGATGCAAGAGTAACAGAAATGTAGCTCCTGACTGAGAAGCCCTATCCAGCTACAAATGTATTGCTACAAATGTATTACTACAAAAGCAGTTAAAGGATTTTAGTGGCCACTAGCAGCCTTGGCCACCACCCCTTTTCCCTTGCTACTAAGTATCTGCACAACTCTCTTCCCTCACTTAGAGCAGTCAGCCTCTTCTCTTCCAGTTACTCACACAGCTCCAAATCCAGGCTCTCTATGAAGGCACATTCATTTAGGTGAAGCTTTAATAGTCTGACAGCCCTAAAGCTGATAGGCAAATGACTCACTCTCACCCTTGCCCCTGCCCATTTATAATGTAGTGGGACAGGATAACCAAATAAAAACTCGATTTGGAAAATGGAATAAAGGGAAACAGACTCAAAGCAATTGTGGAATGCTCTGGGGAACCTCGTAAAGATTTTGTCCCAAATAGTGGAGCAACTTCTTGATGAGACGCTGATTCTCATCTCTGGGGCTTGTTTATCAACCTCTGTAGATTCCCGCTCATTCCTTCCTCCCCCTGGCTACTGCAAAAGCGGAGGCTGGGAGTTGTGAAAACAGTACTTCTTGCTGGTGTGAGCTTGGTGCCATTGCTTTAAGGCCAAGTGCATGTTTCTTCTGCAGTGCCATTCCCTCAAGAACTCAGTCCTTTTATCCCCCTACTGCTCATGCCTCCACTTAGTAATTTTCTTTTTCTTTTTTCCCCAAAAGAGATTTTTTTTCTATAGAGTGTGTGCGTTCACCAGAGAGACAGAAACTGAGAAATCACTCCCCAGGGTGATGACCATATCGCAATCCTTTCTCTATTCTCCTCTCAGGATTTTGGGCATGCATGCACATGTGCCCGACATGAGTTTTAAGCCTCCAGGTCTGGTACTCAAACCACAGTCGCCTATGTGGGAGTCCAGCAATGTAAACCATTACACCATCTGCTGGTCCCTTCGTTTAGTAACTTTCTATCCACAGCCCCCCTCCCCCTTGCTCCTGGTTCCCTGTGCCAGGAATCACAACCATGCTCTGTTCTAGGCCCAGTTCTCAAAGCATGCTTGCTAGCTTTTCTTATGTGACTCTACCTTTCTTTAACGGACGCTGTCTTGAGACCAACTGTACCGGGACGCCATACCCAGGTTACTGCTGCAGGACTGGGTTCCTGCCATTGACAGCTGGCAGAGGAGTCTTAATGGGCCTCCCCTCCACCTCCCACACCTCAAAAATAAATTTGAGCCTTTTCTGCTATTCAGGGCTTAGAAGCAATTCACCTTTCTGATCTTGCAAGGATCCTATTATCAGAACTTTTCAATTCCCTCCCATTTCTGCTTAGAAATAGGTACATCTTTTTTATACCTTACAAAATCATTAACAGCCCCTTCACTTGACACTTTGCCTTTTTCTAGCTATCAGAACTGTCAGCTGAGCAGGTGAGAGAGGTGCCTGGAATCTGCTCCATCCGCTTATACGAGCGGCAGGCCAGTGCATACAGTTTTAGTTTCCGTGAAGGCAGGGCCTCATCTCAGGCTCTCCAAGTCTGTGTTAGAAGTATTGGTGGCGAGCAATACGCACAGGGACTGGGTCAGCTTCTGACGAAGATTCTCCATGACTGGATTGTAGACGGCCTCCTCTGGGCCCTCTTTTCAACGAGGCTGCACCCTTGGGCCCTGTCTCCAGCCTGCCAACTCCAGTTTTGACAAGAACACTGCAAAAATAACCTTAATCTCCCACCCTCGATATCTCATCTCCCTTGGTAACCAACCGAATTTGTCATTCCCCACCCTGGATATGTGATCACCCTCTCCTGCCTTCAGCAAGAATCTTCAACAAGAATTCCTGTATGAGGGCTGTCAGGTGGTGTGGTGGTTAAGGATGCTGGACTCCCACATGGCCAACCATAGTTCAAGTCCTGAACCTGGTGGCTCGCTTTCTCATGTTCCCTCTCTTTAATGTGTCCCTCTGTAGTCACATTAAAAATAAAGTTAAATAAAATTGTTTTTTAAAAAAAATCCCTGTACTGTTGATGTCTTCACTTAGTATTCTGTAATGAACAGACCCTCTTGCTCTGCTCATTCTAAATCCCCAGCCATGTTGGATGTAGTCGGAGCAGAGTCGGATTTCTGTCCCCTATTGCAGGAGTCCTGAACAGCCTCCCCCTGTACTAACAGATGTCAGTAATGTTTTCTGTCCTACTTTCTAGGCCTCCACGCTGGTGGAATGGTGACTGGCAGGGAAAACCTTGTTATGGACTGAGCGTGTCCTCCCCAAATTCCTGTGTCGAAGTCCTAGTCCCCAGTGCGATGACATTGGGAGATAATTAGGTCACGAGCCCTCATGATGGGATATGTCCCCTTGTAGCAGGGACCCCAGAGAGCTCAGTCTTGCTCTCGTTCTGCCCTGGAGGACAGCGAGAAGACAGCGGTCTGCTCCCGGAGGCGGGCTGCTCCAGAGCCTGACTACACTGGCACCCCATCCCAGATCTCAGCCTACAAATGGTGAGAAATGGGTTGTTTTAAAGCCACCCAGTTTATGGCATTTCATTGCAGTGTCCCAGGCCAAGGACACCCCTTTTCTCCAGCAGGACTTCCCTCAGTACTGACACTGACACTCCCCCCCCACCCCAGTCCACCCCGTTGGTATTCCGTTTGGATTCGCAGTAGGTCACTACAGATCACAGCCCTTATGTGGGATGTGTGGGCCCAGGTGGCTTGGAAATTGGAACTTTTCAGATTTTACAAAGTATAACTCACACCAAAATGATTTAGGGCAACATCTGTAATCAAACACAGTAACATTTATGCATAAAATCTATAAATGTTAATACTAAGTAGGAGAAAATGCACACACACACACACACACACACTATATCTCTAGCTATCTCTCTCTCTCTCTATGTATATATATATAATTTCCCCCTCACACACACACTTGGCATTAACACATATGGCTGGCTGCTAGGGAGATCAGGTTTGACTGCAGAGTGAGTTTTGGCCCCAAACTGATGAAGAAAACTTTTCAAAGATTTTCTTTTTGGATTTTTGGCATTGTACTGGGGGCAACAAACCTTTTGTAGTAAAGTAACCAAACTTACGTAAGCATTCCATTCCAGCTGTTAAACGATGTTGCATCTCTTATCTGTTTCTCTTTTGAGATCATCCCTTTTCTAAAAGAAAAATGAGAGTTGAATGGCCGACTCTAAAATTCATTTCGTAGTCCAAAGTGAAGCAAAATTGGTGTTCATGTTTTATCACGTGTTGTGTCCCTCCACCTGTTTCTCCCATTTTGAGTTACCATCTTCTGGTGGCTGTCATCGGCTACTTCTGCGTTAATCTAACCAACATCATTACTAAAGAACACTGGCGATTACTGTAGTTGTCAAGACCACTCGGAACTGGGAACGTGACTCCTGCTCAGAGGTACCTACGGTGTAGGATGTTTTAACTACTAGGTCATCAGGAAGGTCATGATGTCAAGTATTTTTCTAATTTTCTATGCAAGAAATGTGTCATGACTTTCCTGGCAACTCTATACTGGGTCTATATAAGGTCTATTGAATAGTTTTGACTGAATACAAAACCATTTTGGGGGGACCAGCAGTTGGCGTAATGGCTATGTTGCTGGACTCCCCTGTAGTTGACCGTGGTTCAAGTCCTGGACCTGGTGGGTTAAACGCATGCCGGGCGCGTGTGCGTGCATGCCGAAGATCCCGAGAGGAGAATGGAGAAGGGATTGTGGCATGACCATCCCCCCTGGGGGGTGATTTCTCGCTTTCTGTCTCGCTCTCTTTGTGTTTCTGGCAAGAGCACACACTCTATAGCAAAAACCTCTCCAAAAAATTTTTTTGGGGTGAAAATTCTACATTTTTCTACTTTAAATGTAGACTGACACCCTACCAGGACCACTAATTCTAGTAACTTGCTGCTTTTCCGAAGAAATGATCAATGAAGGTAAGGCTATCTGGAAAAAAAAATCCAGAAAAGAAGGTTAAAAGCTTTAGAAAAGGCTAACTAAAATAAAGAAAATAAAAATACACTAACTTTTCTCCTTTATTAGAGAAAGTAAGGTTTAGGTCATTTTAAACAATAAAGTCAGATTATGGAAGTAAAGGAAAAAGTCATTTGATCATTAAGACTTGGCGTTTTGTCCACCGCACAGATTTAGAACATGTTATTCACCAGAGCCTACATTTTGGTAAAACACGTCAGCCTTGGTACCCCCCCAGAGGGTGCGTGCTCGGCAATTCACAGTGACTTGGCAAAATTGGTTGTTCAAATTTTATCACAAGTTTATGGACTCTAACCACACTTGAAAACATATCTACAGGGCCAGCAGGGGGCGTGCTGGACTCCAACATGGCTGCCCGAGGTTGGAGTCCCAGACCTGGTTTCTTGAAAATGTGCAAGCATGCCAGCCCAAAATTCCAAGAGGAGAATAGAGGAGAAGGGATTGCGGCATGGCCATCCCTGCTGGGTGGTAGTTTCTCATTTTCCCTTTCTGTCTCTCTCTGTTGAGCACACATGCTATATGCAAAAACTCTAACCAAAATAAATAAATAAATAAAAAGAGCATCTACAACCAAGAAGGTAAAAATAGCTTTAATCAACCTTTAGGGAAAAAAATCATACACAAGACACTTACCAGGCAAGGTTCATAAAATTAAGAAGGGCTGTATCTCCTGAAGTGGTTCTTGGCTTTCAAAAGTATTCTCATCTAGAATCAGCCAATGTGTCTAGTCATTCAGACATTCCAAATGCAGAGTCCTTGCAAGCCATGTCGTGTTCAGTTAGTGTTAAATACAAAATACGGTTAACTGTGTATTAACACGTCGGTAAACATGGATTTTCTACCATGAAGCCTCGGAACAGAGCAATGGAGTGAAGCACTCATTTCCGATTCATTCATTGAAATGAGATATGATATTCCTGGCTCCGCTTGGCTCTCTTTAGAGAAGGGAAGCTGGAGAGGTACTTTTCTTATACGTAAGTTTAGGAGGATTTTTTAAGGGATATGTCTAAGTCCCAGAAGGAACCTGAAACCTTACCAACTAGCATCAAGTTCTCTGCCTACTTCGTATCAAAGACTTAGACCTTCTGAAAGGTCTATACCTGTTACTCAAACATAACAAATTCTTAAATAAAAATATTTTAAATGGTGGGAGAGCAGGTGGCTAAGGTAGCTGGATTCTACATGGCCAACTGCACAGTTCAAGTCCCGACCCCAGCGGCTTGAAAAACACTCCAGGCACGTGTGCAAAGTCCCAAGACAGGACTGGAAGAGGAGGGACTGTGGCAAGGCCATCCCCACTGGGGAAGGGAGAGTAGGGCTTTCTCACTTTCCCTGTCTCTGGTGAACACACACACCCTATAGCAAAAAAAAAAAACAAAAAAAAAAAACAAAAAAAAAAACATTTTAAAATAGAACAACATGGCTACATTGTGGTTCTGTGACTTTTGGCAACTGCTTTGAAAAGAGGAGCAATTCTAATAGTCACCCCTATTTACCACATGGACAATTAGCTGGGGTTAAAGACTGAGGTTTGAGGATGACAGGAAGAAAGTAAGGTAAAAATACAAAGTGCTACAAATTGATTGATATGGGCCATTAGAAGCTCTTCATAATAATTTAAAGCCTTCCCAATAATAATGTTTGTTAAAGTGGGTATAGTTTACAGAAATACTTGGAGCAGCAGGTGGTGTGGTGGTTAAGGCGCTGGACTTCCACATGGCCAACTGCAGTTCACGTACCAGACCTGGCAGGTTGCTTTCTCTTTTTCTCTCTCTGTTTCTCTCTCTGGTGAGTGCATATGCCCTGTAGAAAATTAAAATAATAATAATCATAATAACAATTAAATTATATTAAAAAGTCTAAAAACAGAAATGCTTGCATTTTATTCTCAAGAGCAATGTATGAATAAGCAATCCTGTGTCTGGGGTAAAGTTCTCTGGTGGGAAACAATGATAAGAACCTAGAAAATCTATATACCACTTTTTGGATAAACCTATTATCTTCGTATTCAAATGTAAAATGTGCTACAATATTATCCAGTGATTTACGGACGACACTTTGATGTTTCTGATCTGTTGACTTTCTGTCAAGGATGCACCTTTTTTTTTTTTTTCCTTCCAAGACAGAGTCTCGCTGCCATGTTCCTCCTGCCTCAGCTTCCCAGCTAGAACCACAGGCGGCAGCACCACGCTGTTCTATCAGACTGGGTCAGAGGATGTGGTCCAGGGCAGCCTCGAGCTTGTGGTCTTCTTGCCTCCATCTCCTGAGTGGCAGGGATTACAGGCACAGCCACTGCCCAGCCTTCAGGCTGAACTGGGAATTGAACGTGGGCCTCCCTGAGGTCCTGGCCTGTGGAACGCAGCGTCCTAGCAGCGTGCTCCACCGTAGATGGGCCAACGATGCACCTCTTTAAAGGAATCTATAACTGAGTGAATTGAGTGTCACTATACTTTGACACAAACTAGGTGAATGTGGGTCACACACAACACTTCTAATTGATAAAACCAAACCGACCACACAGAAGCTTTATTGCATTCAGCTCCACACAGCAGAACACACCCTCAGGTTTACGATAGCCCTGGGGGTTCCAGTGCCTTGTGGCCATGGAAGTGGAAATCTCGGGACCTGCTTCGTTTCCAACAATGGTGACGCTGCTACTTATTATTTTACTCTGCACAAACCAAAACGACTGCCAAACTACCAGAAAAGTATAATTGCTAATGACATTAAGCTCTTAAATCTGATACGTAACATGCCACTTTTATTCTAAATTCAAAGACCAGGTAACTTCAAAGTTATCATTTTTTCGCGCTGCAAAGAAGGGCTAAAGTAAATGTCTGAAGGAGTCGTGTTGCGCAGCGTCGGGGACAGCTGTGCGCGCTGCTGCCAGTTGGCCCTGGCACCTGGTTGTGGAACGCCAAGCAGCTCTCTCCGGTCCGAAGCACTCGAGCGGACTTCAGTCCTTCCGCACTCTTCTTTTGCGGACTGTCTTTACCGGCCCGTCTCCGGATCCTGTGCTCTCATCTGCTTCTTTCATCTAGAAAAACGGATCATGACCATGTTTATTTTAGTATAATATGTAAAGCTTTAATTTTATGTTTCTTATTCTCTAAAATACACATTCTTTTGAAAAAATTTTTGCTAGGGGGCCAGCAGGTGGTGTGGTGGGTGAGCCCCTGGGCCGGCAGGTGGTGTGGTGGGTGAGCCCCTGGGCCGGCAGGTGGTGTGGTCGGTGAGCCCCTGGGCCCACAGGGGGGGTGGTGGGGGAGGCCCTGGGGTTGCGGGGGGGGTGGGGCACAGGTGGTGTGGTGGGTGAGCCCCTGGGCTGGCAGGTGGTGTGGTGGGTGAGGTGAAGCTCTGGGCCTGCATGTGGTGTGGTGTGGTGGGTGAGGCCCTGGGCTGGTAGGTGGTGTGGTGAGTGAGGCCCTGAACTCCCATATGGCCAACTGCCTTTTCAGTCCTGGAGCTAGTAGCTTGAAAATCACACCAGGCGCATGTACATGCATGCTCAAAATCCCAAGAGGAGAAGGAAGGGGGAGGGAGTGCAGCGTGGCCATCCCCCCTGGGCGGGGTGATTTCTCACTTGCCCTCTCTCTGTCTCTGTCTCTTTCTGGCAAGACAAAAACCTCTAAAAAATAAAAATTTGTCAGAGGGTGCGTGCACTCACTGGAGAGAGACAGAGACAGAAAGAAGGAAAGTGAGAAAGCACCCAACTAGGGGCAAGGTCATGCCGCAATTACATTCTGTCACGATTTGGGGCATGCATGCACACACACATACACACACACATACACACCCGTGCACACACACACATACACACACCCGTACACACCTGTGCACACACACATACACACACACATACACACCCGTGCACACACACACATACACACACCCGTACACACCCGTGCACACACATACACACACATGTGCATACACACATACACACACGTACACACCCATGCACACACATATACACACACCTGTGCACACACACATACACGCACGTACACACCCATGCACACACATATGCACACACCTGTGCACACACACATACACACACGTACACACCCATGCACACACATATGCACACACACATATATACACCCGGCATTTCTCTCCAGCTGCCAGATCTGAGACATGACCTCCAGATCAAGCATAGGGGACATGTGGGGTCCAGCGCCTTAACCACTGTGCCCCTGGCTGGCCTGATAGGTGTGTTAATCACCAACCACTATCACATACGTGTCCCCTCACTTCACACAGCTGACCCGGAGGTGACAGACTTCGATGTGTTTCATTTTGGAACAATCACATTTTCAGAATAACCCGACTTAACAAATAAGCATCTAGGAAAGAACACTACTGACAATCTCATTTGTGATGTTACTTCATGAGTTAGAACTTAATCTGCATGCCACCGTTCATGGTTATGCAATATTTTCATTGTAGGGTAAAAACCACTAACGGTTCCCCACAATATTTCTGTAAGTAATGAATTACTGAGCTAGGTTTACAGAGGCTTTTTCAAAACCCCTGGTGCCTAGAGCTTCCAGAAAAATTAGGGGAGAGGAAAGGAAAATGAAATAACAAATTCATGGTCTGAGTGTTTTCATTCCCTTCATTCTTATCCTTTCAGAATATGTTTTTACATCAATTTAACTTTAGGAACAAAATAAGATGCTGAAGGTATTTTACCAAATGAACCTGTTGCTATTTCTCCAGGTTACACTATAAAAATGACTGACCGAACATGAGAAGGCTGAAAGACTGGAAGACGGACATAGGATATTTATGTTCTGTGAAGCAAAACATACTTGGAAAACATCAGAAGATAATTACAAGTATTGTCATTAAAGTCACCGCTGAGGGCTGGCCCCACAGTGAGGGCTGAGTGCTGTGCAGAGAGCGCTGGATCCCACATGGCCGACCACGGTCTGAGTCCCGTGTTGCCCCTGCGGGAATGTGCTGGGTGTGTGCGTGCATGCACGCTCGGGATCCTGAAAGAATGAAAAAACGGCAGAAAGGATGGCAGTGTGCCCAAGGCCTGTCGAGTGGTGCTCCCCCTTCTCTCTCTCATCCTCTCTCTCTGCCCTGTGCACGCAGGCACCCTCTGGCATTAAAATAAGGACAAAGCTGAAATAAAAGCTGTTTGAAACTCTACTGTGGAAGAAATGATCTTGACCTGGTTTTGCCTAAATTTGATATTCGTACAGGTTGAGCATCACTCATCCAAAACTCCAAAATACCAAATGCTCCAAAATCCAAAGCTGTGACCACAAGTGGAAAATTCTACACCTGTCATCATGTGACAGGTTACATACGGTTAAACACTGCAATACGAAAAGACTGTATGTTACCTTTAAACTATGTCTATGACGTATACATGAGACATAAGAAAACCTGAAATCTAAGCACTTCCGGTTCCAAACAATTTGGATAAGGAGTATTTCAACCTGCATTTGATAATGGTCCCCAAAGTCCCTTTAAAAACTCACAGGGCAGGGCCAGCAAGTGGGATGGTGGCTAAGGCCCTGGACTCTCATGTGGCTGACCAGTTTGAGTCCCAGACCTGGTGACTTGCTTTCTCACTTTCCCTCCCTCTCTCTGTCTCTCTCTAGTGAACACATGTGCCCTGTAGCAAATTAAAAAAAAATAATAATAATGATAAATAAAATTAAATAAATAATTCTTACCAAAGGGGGGGGAACAAAACTCTCAGGGCAGTTAATAGTATTTGTGTTGAATAAACTGTAGAAAACACACAAAATGACTTGTTCATTTGAAAGGTGTCTTTACACGGATAAAGGAGAAAATTTGCTTCATCGCATGCAATAGGCCACGCAGAACTGTCCCTTCACCCCATTGAAGTAGTGAAGAATACAACGTGTAGGAATGGGGACTCCAGAGCCAGACAACACAGCTCTTAAAGGACTTGAGAAATAGAGAAAACAGCCTTTGGGGTTATGCTAGGCATAGAAAGAAAGCTGAGGTTTCAAATGATAATACATTCCAGAGGATTTCTGAGTCCATAATAACTAACCAAAATTTTTTTAAGAATTATTTTGTTTAACTTCATTTCTTTTCATTTGACCAGAGAGGGACAGAGAGACACAAAAAGTGAGAAAGCAAGCCACCAGGTCTGGGACTTGAATCATGGTCAGCCATGTGGGAGTCTAGCACTTTTAATCACCACACCACCTGCCAGTCCTACTAATTAAAAATATTAAAGGCATTGTAGAAAGTTCCATTAAATCAGGATATGAAAAGGGATATACATATCAGGTTAATAAGAGGGAAAAATCCAGTTCATTAGATAAAGACCTGAGAGAAACACTACCTGGCAGATAGTACCTCAGCTACCCAATGAGTGAGAGATGAGAAAATATTGAGGAGAAAGTTTTATAATAGCAAATAAAGACAATTATCTTATAATAATAAAAATTACCTCTTAAATAGTCAAATCATCTTATTATACCTTTCAATAGAATATTTTAATGATCAAGTCATACAGATGTACAGGGTGGTTCTATATATATATATTTTTTTTTTTTGAGAGGTTTTTCACTATAGGGCACGTGCGCTCGCCAGACAGAGAGAGATATAGAGACAGAAAGCGAGAAATCTCCCCCCGGGGGGATGGTCACACCGCAATCCCTTCTCCTCCATTCTCCTCTTGGGATCTTGGGCACACACGCACACGCGCCTGGCGTGAGTTCTAAGCCACCGGGTCTGGGACGTGAACCGCAGTCGACTACGTGGGAGGCCAGCGACATAGCCATTACGCTAACTGCTGGTTCCCCTATTTTGATATTTTGTAACACATGGGTTTACCTTACACTGTCATACTAGGCATTGAGAGAATATAAATTATAGTATTTTCTTGCTTTCTTTATGGATATATTTAAAAAACAATATGGAGGCATTTAAAGAAACTGGGAGAAATAGGACAAAAATTCCTTTTACAAACCAGGCTGCTTCTTTTACTGAAATAATTTTTATTATAACAATTACATGTAAAAACAAGTTCATTTCTCTTTGAGTGGCTTACCTCATCTTCTGATCCAGACTTATTTGACTTATTACCTTCTTCTTGCCCTTCTATGATTTCTATTTCTTCCTCGCTCTTTTCCTCGGGCTCAGCTTCCTCTTCTAGAACACAGATTTCATTAAAGGCAAAGACTTGACAGATTAGAGTAATGAATGATGAATGAATGAATGAATGATGAATTGGAGTGTTACCACTGAAAAGTATTAAATAGAATAAAGGGGATTTATTTAAAGTCCAGTATTTTCAAAAAGTTCTTTCCATTCAACATTTTTTAAAAATTATAAATACTCATTAACTTACCATATTTTATAAATAAATCATATTTCAAGTAAGAGACAGGTTTAAGTAACTCGTAAGCAGTTTGTGTGTAATATGAAAACCAAATAATTATCATCTTTCCTGTGTTCACGTCTCAACATTTGACTCACCACATATATACTCTATCTATCCTTGTTCCCTGTGGACAGTCACATGCTTTTTTCAGTTACTGACCCTCCTTTGGATTCCATTTAGCCAGACCTCCAACGTTGCCAACATCATTACTGAGAGCTATTAAATATGCCCTAGTACTATATCCTGTAAAATCTCTAATCGCACTAAATATGGTGTTTAGGGAAGACGAAGTTGAAAATCTTCTGAACTTTATCCCTCCCATGTATTTCCATATCAACAACCTGGGACGATGTGGACACGTGGAAGAAAGTGGCTTCCGTAAGAAGGCCTGTGACACTCAACCATTTCAATTTGCGTGCTAGATAAATGCCATCTATGTAAAACTGACCAAAATTTCAGTATATTGGGCCAATTTCATGCCCTGGTGGTTGGGGCAGCCAGATCCCTTATGTCCACCATGCGGCTCAAGTTCTGAAGCTGCTAGCTTGAGAAACACACCAGGTCTGTGTGCACATGTGCCCAAAATCCTGAAAGGAGGGAGAAATGGAGGAGAAGGGATTGCAGAGTGACTGTTCCCCATGAGGGTGTGATTTCTCCTCTTGCTTTGTCTCTCCGTCTCTCTCTGGGGAACATACACACCCGCTAGTGCCAAGAAAAAAATGTTTTTAATATAGTAAGCACTACAAAGTTACAAAGATAAGGTTCTGAGAACTTACGATCTAAGTATAAATGGTTGTTTTAGATACCGTGACACACACGTTTATATGTATATGTGTATATACATAGGTAAATATGCATATATATGGATAGACATACATACATATATATTGTGACACACACATTTATATGTATATGTGTATTTACATAGGTAAATATGCATATATATATGGATAGACATACATACATATATATGAATTTTTTTTGACAGAGTCTGGTTTTTAAATCAATTGTTCCATCAATTACTAAATTAAAATAGTACTTCCAAGCATAATTTAAGTTGTAGAGGGTTCACTGTGAAGTTTGGTTTTATTTTTACCTGGATATGCATAGGAGGCCATCAAAGAACCACCACCAAAAACCCCTCAGTTCTACAGTTCTATCACTCTACAGGGTTGAGAATAGGGTGGAAAGGGAACGGAGGATCAGCCATCCTAGGAAATTAATCAAATGATTCAACATGTACAATGAACTGATACACAACAGCCCCTGGAAGACATAGTGCTGACTTCATGGCTGTGGTCGCTGGCCCTACACCTGGCTCTTCCTCTGCGGAGGCCACGACACACGCCTTCCATCTCTATATTCTTGGAGGCAAGCACAGTCCTTGCAAAAAGCTAAGACGAAGGGATTCCTAAGTGCTAGACTCCAAAGAGCCTCAGCACTGGACAGAAGACAAAAACTGCCAACAGGGCGACGGGGCAGAGGGTGCCCACTCCCCTTTGCCGGCCACCTCTTCTTGAAAATTCAGATATATAAATTCTATGATGAGCAAGTGAAATGGCTAGACACGTCAAGATAATGTACCACCTTTATGAGCTCTGCCCAGGGTCCCCATTATAAATCACTGTCACGGTTTTACCTTTTTCAAGGACTTCGCCATCGCTTTGCGTTTTTTCCTCTTCCACGTCCACCGGTTTCTCCAGGGCTGCCTTCTCTTCCTTCATGTCCTGCTCAAGTGCTCCCTTAGTTTGCGGTTTGCATATGTCTGTTTTTTTATACTCTGTGTCTTCATGTTTTTTCTGCGGTAGTTTAACATAAGCCGATTTTTACTAAACACGAAGCAATCACTTTAAAAAGGGTTTTGCAAGAACTGACAATCCACACAATGAACTATCACTAAAAATGCATAGAAAAGTTACTTTTAAGAATTACTTGTTCGATTCAAAGGACTCTGAAATATTATGAAATTTGAAAAAAAAAAAAGTTGAAGAAAGTCCATTTTCTTTACCTTTGCTCTTCTTGGCCAACAAAACAAAGCAATCAATGCTATTGGCAACCCTGCGGTCACAAAATAAATGCACCAAAGCCATGGGCGTTCTTCAGTGGCTGCCAGTAACTGTTTAAAGACGCCAGGCTGTAGAAGAAATAAGCATAGAGTATGCAATTCAAATTTGATAGCCCGTCCTTAGAATTACAGCCTACGAGAAGTCTTATTACAGCTAGGCATTTCATATTAGGCAGTGATGAACCCGCAAGCACAAGCGTGTTTACCCCCTTCCATCCTGAAAAGTCCAACAATGAGGACCCGCCAATGAACGAGACTTGGTAGTAAAAGGTGTGCTATTTAAAAGGGGACACTTCTACTCCAAGGAAAAGGATTGTTTCCATTTTCAGCAAATCTCAGGATAGAACTGAATTTTTAGATATATTACTTGATTTGTTCAAAAGTATCCAACTTGTTGATCATTCATTCTGTACTTCCAAAAACTGACTAATAAAATCATACCTTAGAATTACTGTGTTTTGCTTTTCTCTTTTATATAAAGAAGTTTCACATATGACCTTTAGTAAGAAAACTGTCCCTTATTAAAGTAAAAGCCAACACCATCAAATGTTCTAAAAAGTTTCAGAGTTAAGAATCCTTCTACCTACTCTCTGGATAATATTTGCTAGTGTCCAAAGAAACCAAACGCATTGGGTCGTCAGGAAAGTAATGACGGATTTTTCTGGTTTGCTATGCAAAAATGCATCATGACTTTTCTGATGACCCAGTAAGATAAATTTTTCTTTACAATAATTGATTTTACAGATACACTCTCCAAGATGTATTTTGTTAAAATAATTATCTTAACTTTCTAAACAGTGTTAAGATCTGAAAAACAAAACAAAACAAGACAAAAAAAAAAAAAAAAAAGAACCCTGGCACACAATTTATTGATGTCAACATTTCAAAGTGAAAATTACTTAAAATAAGTAATAAATAGTATTTAGATGATTGTGTAAAACTTAGTCATTGAATTGGCAAGATATATATATTGGCAAAAATATAAATAGTCTCATGTCTATAAACAGTAAATGGGGACCCGCAGTTGGTGTAATGGCTATGTTGCTGGACTCCCATGTAGTCAACTGAGGTTCAAGTCCTGGACCCAGTGGCTTAATCTCACACTGGGCACGTGTACGTGTATGCCCAAGATCCCAAGAAGAGAATGGAGAAGAAGGGATGGCAGCATGGCCATCCTCCCTGGGGGGGTGATATCTCACTTTCTGTCTCTGTCTCTCTCTGTCTTTCTGGCGAGCGCACATGTCCTATAGCAAAAACCTCTCATAGATGGATGGATGGATGGATAGATAGATAGATATAGCTAAACAAACAAACCAAACAGTAAGTGGACATTAAAGCCCATCAAAGCTATTATCACTGAATGAATAAAATGAGGTTGTAGATGTGCATATACAGTTCTACATATATGTGTGTGTGTATATATATATATGTGTGTGTGTGTGTACATATATATATATATATATATATATATATGTTGGGTTGTTGGAAAAGTCATAACATATTTTTCTATGCAAAATTTAAAATAAAATTGTATCATAATTTAGTTAAGCTAAATACTGTTTAAAGAAACTTACTCAAGTACATTTTCTTGGCACTTAGTAATTACTACATGTTTATTTGCCTTTAGAAGGGCCATCGCGATAACCTACAGCCAGGACCAAGTGCTATGTATGTATGTAAACATGCATATGTTTATGAATAGACATACACACACACATATGTGAATAATTTTTTGAGAGAGAGAGTCTGGTTTTTAAATCAACTGTTCCATCAATTCCTAACTTAAAATAGTGCTTCAAGGCATAATTTAAGTTGTAGAGAGTTCACTGTGAAATTTGGCTTTATTTCAACCTGGACATGCATGGGGAGGCCCTCAAAGCAGAACCACCAAAAAACCCTCAGTCCTTCAGTTCTGTCGCTCTAGGGTTTAGAATGGGGTGAAGTCAGCACCTTACCTCGTTAGCCTTTGCTATCATTATTTTCAATCCCCAACCATCTGCGGCCCAGCGATCTGCTACTTCCTTTTCCGAACAGATAATGAAATTATCAAAGTAGATATCAGAGTTCATAGACCAAAGCTCTAGCCCAAGAGCACGGAAAGAAGTCAGAAGAAACGGGTGATCATCTTCAAAATAATCTGGATTAGGAATTTTTCGAGGACTCCATACTCCCTGCAAGAAAAACATAATTGAAGACATTTTCAAATAAAGTAACTGCATTATAAATGCTGTTCAAGAAGTAGTGGCTGTTGAATAAAATTAGCAATACTAACTGGAAAAAAAAAAGAAAAAAAATTAACTGAAAGTAATTCATGAGTGAGTAATGAATTAGTGAAATAAAATCTTGTTCCTTCTTTTTCTGTCCTCGATGTCCTCGATGAATAATAAAGATTTTAAACTCCACAAAAATGGCAGTGATATCCAACACAAACAGGAATGTAATTCAGTTTCACAGGTGGTAGTATTTTAGACAGTTTGTTTTTAGATTTCATAGTTTTTTTGAGACAACGTGTCGTGCAAGTTGCCCGAGTCAGAAAGATCATTGTACTGCAAAACTGAAGCCCCTTCATTCAACACATACCCATGACAGCATCGTTAATCAATCCTATTGAACCTGGGGACAACTGTTCAATGGAAAAGTGCCCTTAGATCTCACACGATTAAACTGTCAATCAAATCCAATAAATCTGGCAATATGACCACTCACCAGCCTACTCTGCCATCCTGTACACCTTCCTGAGCCAAGCACTTACTATGTCGTACGCGAGGGGTACGGTGATAATCAAGAAAGACAAGCTTCCTGTATTTATCAAGTCTAATGGGGAGACGGACATCAGACAAACAAATGACCAAAATAAACATTCTTGGCATGGTGGTTAAGGTGCTAGGCTCCCACATGGCCAATCATGGTTCAAGTCCCAGACCTGAAAAATCACACCAGGCACATATGCATGTGTGTCCAAAATCCCAAGAGGAGAATGGAGGTGAAGGAATTATGGCATGGCAATCCCCCTGGGGGCATGTTTCTCACTTTCCTTCTCTCTGGTGGGTGTGCATGCTCTATGGCACTTAAACAAAATTTTTGATAACTGCTATTAAGAAATATCACAGTATATCGGGGCCAGCAAGTGGCATGGTGGTTAAGGCGCTGGACTCCCGCATGGTTGACCATGGTTCGAGCCCTGGACCTGGTGACTTGCGCTTGCTCTCTCTCTCATGCTCTGTAGCAAATGAATAATAATAATGATAAATGAAAATAATTCTAATAAAAGAAATATCACAATAAATAATAGACTATGCAGCCACATATATATGTAATGTTATAAAATTTCAATGAATAATTACTAGAGAGCCAAAGGGATAACATGCAATAGATATTACTAATATAAAAAGCTAGGCACACACAAAAAATATCTGATTGATATTAAAAGAAACTTGGAATCTTAATAACATTAAAAATAAATAGCAGATTAAATACAGGCAGTAATTACTGAAATGTACTACAATGCCTGAGTCCAATCTTGGCCAGAATTCATTTCTTATCCTTACTTCTAAAATAGAACTTTATTCCCAAGTGAGCATCAATTGATTATTAGGAAAGAATTCAGTAGGAAGTGATTTGTCTTCTATCTTTAATTTTTATTTTCTTGGAAAATTAAATAAAGAATGTTATATTTTTATAATAAAATACAAATTTGTTTCTATTTTCTTTGACTTCTTCAGATTCTTCAAATCAAATTTCTAAACGTTAATATTATCAAGAATTAGAGAGACCAGCAGAGGGCATAATGCTTATGTCAATGGACTCCCATGTAGTATACCGTGGTTCGAGTCCCAGACCCAGCGGCTTAAAATTCACACTGCACACGTGTGCATGTATGCCCAAAATCCTGAGAGGAGACGGGATTGTGGTGAACCATCCCCTGTGGGGGGTGATTTCTCACTTCCTGTCTCTATGTCTCTCTCTCTGTCTCTCTGGAAAACGCACATGACCTATAGCAAAAATCTCTCTCTCTCTAAAAGAAAAATAACAATTAGACATAACAGACAATATCGCACCATTTTTAACTTTACTAAGCAATTAGAATATTGAGTAATACCTGGTAGTTGGGATTATCGATCAGTGGAGGTCTCCATATTCCTTTGTATTTTGGGTTGTCTATCAAGGGAGGTTTCCACTCGCCACATCCAATCTGGCACGCTGGGTTGGGAATATGAGGAGCCTCCCACTCTCCGTCCATGTCCTCGTTCCTTGGGGTATTAGAACACAGCACATATAGTAACCTCAAGCCCCTCCTGCCAACCATACGAGCTAGAGACAAAAAGCAAATAAGGAATATTTCAAATAGACTTTTGAAGATGGAGAATGCTTACCAATCGTCGGGTTTCTCAGCCTTAGGATTCGGGATAAATCTTGGTTCATCATCAAGCCAGCCATCAGGTTTAGTAGCACTTAAATCTTCTATCTGAGCAGGTTCGTTTTCATCCCTGTAAATATGGTTTTGATTCATTACTAATCTTTGAAAAGCTTCAAAGTGCATGTTACAAAATTCAGAAAGTACCATGAAAGTATTCAGTTGTCAAGAAAGTCATGACATTTTTTCCGTCTTTCTGTGCAAAAATGCACCGTGACTTTTCAGACAACCCAGTATTTCCTTCCTGTCTCTGTGCTCCTCCCTCCCCATGTCTCGCTCACCTAAGCCCGCCAGCTTTCTGATGTTTGCATGTATTCCTGTTGTGTTCTACCATGCACACATGGATGTATTCTTTTTTTTTTCTTAACACAAATGATAATAAGCTATATGTGTTGAGTTTCTTTTTATTTATAACTTAAAAACACACTTGTTGGGACCAGCAGTTAGCATAATGGCTATGTCGCTGGACTCCCACGTAGTCAACCGCAGTTCACGTCCCGGACCCGGTGGCTTAAACTCATACTGGGCACGTGCACGTGCATGCCCAAGATCCCGAGATAATGGAGGAGAAGGGATTGCGGCATGGCCATCCTCCCGGGAGGTGATTTCTCACTCCTGTCTCTCTGTCTCTGTCTTTCTGGCGAGTGCATACACCCTATGGCAAAAACCTCCCCCCCCCAAAAAAAAAATGTCAACTGAGGCAGTTTGGAAGTAGGCCCTCCTACCAAGATGACAGCAGCTCTGACTGGTGGCTGGGCTGCTGCCTCAGCTGCTGCCTCCTGAGACAGCCTGAGCCAGAACCACTCTGCTAAGCCTCCCCCAGTTCCCTGACCCTGTGAAATAGTGTTTGTCATCCTCACCTGCTAGATTTTGGAGCAATTTATTACATAGGCATAGATCGTTAATATAGTAGATTAAATACAAAAAAGACATTATCTCCTAGCAAAACCACAATTAAGGGTTACCCAATCACACCACAAAATAATAATAATAATAATAATAATAATAATAATAATAAGGTTCTTAAAAAAAAAAGGGCCTGTATGCGTGCGTGCCCAAAACCCCGAGAGGAGAATGGAGGAGAAGCGACTGTGGTGTGGCCATCCCCCCTGGGGGGTGATTTCACCCCTTCTATCTGTTTCTCTCTCCTGCAACATTTTTAAAAATTTTAAAGTAAAAAAATAAAAGTAATAAGGTCCTTATGGAGAAATGACAAAGCATATCTGAAGGGCAAAGAAAACCTCAGTAAATGGAAGGAGACATATACAGGCATCTCTCACCATCTGAATTCAAGCTATGGGGACTCAGGAACTGAACACATATCTCTATTTTGGAAAAATATTTATAATCTTGCAGAATAGAAACAACACAAATATTCAGCTAGTAAAAAATGTATGGCTGGGACCAGTAGTTAGCGTAATGGCTATGTCGCTGGACTCCCACGTAGTCGACCGCGGTTCGTGTCCCGGACCCGGTGGCTT